GAGGGAGGTGAGAGCACGCAGTAAGCGGGAGCTTGTCCTGGGGCCCTGTGTGTCCCCCTGGGCTGCTGGGGGGGGGGGGGTCCCCTCTCTGCCCGCCCCCTGACACTGTGGCGGCTGCAGGTCTTCTTCCAGGAGCTGCTGGAGGAGGCCCGCGGCAGCAAGGCCTTCCCCGAGGACGTGGTCCGGCTCATCTTCTCCAACCTCTCCTCCATCTACCAGTTCCACGCGCAGTTCTTCCTCCCCGAGCTCCAGCGGCGGCTGGATGACTGGTGAGGTCCGCCGGGGGCCTCGAGTCCCTGGCCGCAGCCCCGGCCGCAGCCCCGGCCTGGTCCGGTGCCGCCCCAGGGCACTGGCTGTGCGGCCAGGACCGCCTGTCTGCTCAGCGCGGGGCCTGGGTGAATGAGCCTTGGGTGCGTGTGCCCGGGAGGGGACGGATCAGGTCCTCACTGGGCTGGGTGACAGGAGGCAGGACTAACCGCCTGCTTCCTCCATGCCCTGCTGGGGCTTTATAGCTGTTCTCTCATCTAATCTTCCCGTCAGGCCCCTGTGTGAAGGGGGCATCGTAGTTATGCAAGAAACCCCCTTTGTCTTCAGAAGTGACCACTAAAGTATTGAGCGGTAAAAATCACTTGCTTTACGTATCTTGCCGGAGAAATGCCACCATGTCTGGGATGTCCTTTAAGATTCTTCAGCACAGCCCTAACCGGTGTGGCTCAGTGGATAGCGCGTCGGCCTGCGGACTGAAAGGTCTCAGGTTTGATTCCGGTCAAGGGCATGTACGTTGGTTAAGTGCACATCCCCAGTAGGGTGTGTGCAGGAGGCAGCTGATCAATGTTTCTCTCTCATCGATGTTTCTAATTCTATCCCTCTCCCTTCCTCTTTGTAAAAAAAAAAAAAAAAATCAATAAAATATATTAAATTAAAAAAAATTCTTTAGCAAAGAAGGATGTTAGTAATTAAGTCCAGCGATGAATATGTAGTTCATGGTTATATTCTTCTGACTTTACATGTATTTTTAAAGTCAACCCTCCGAGGTCACGTGCCATCATTTTCACATTTCCAGGCAGGAAAACGGAACCATAGAGACGCTAGTGACTTGCCCATGACACCGGCAGCTAGAATGATGGGCCGGCCTGCCTGCCAGGCCGTGGGCTCCGCTGGGAGTCACAGGCAGATGGCCCGCTCCCTGCGGCTCTGCTCTTTCAGCTCCTGGTTGCATGACCTCCAGGCCCCCTCACACACGTGTGGGGTGACACGCCCCACGACCGCACCCAGAAGTGCAGGGGGAAGGCTGCTTTGGCGGGCCGGGGCCCGGCTCACCTGCCCTGCCTGGGAGGGAGAGGAGGTGCTCGGGCCGAGGGCCATACCGGGGCGCCCCTCCTGCAGGTCGGCCACCCCCCGCATCGGCGATGTGATCCAGAAGCTGGCCCCCTTCCTGAAGATGTACAGCGAGTACGTCAAGAACTTCGAGCGAGCCGCCGAGCTGCTGGCCACCTGGACCGACAAGTCTCCCCGCTTCCAGGAGGTTCTCACTCGCATTCAGGTGAGCTGGGGTGGGGGCGGGGCCTACACTGCTACCCCCAGGCACAGTGCTGGGTTCCCTGGAGATCTGGGGCACCTCCCGGGCTCAGCCCCCCTCAGGTCCCTCGCCCTCCCGCTCTCACCCCACTCTCCCTCCCTCATCCCTCCCCAAGAGCAGCGAGGCCTCGGGCAGCCTGACCCTGCAGCACCACATGCTGGAGCCGGTGCAGAGGATCCCGCGCTACGAGCTGCTGCTCAAGGAATACGTCCAGAAGCTGCCGGCCCAGGCCCCGGACCGGGCGGATGCCCAGAGTGAGGACTCGCCGGGGGGCCCAGGGGTGGGGGGCCGCCCCTGCTCCCGTGTGCTCACTGAGCACCTGCTGACATGTCGTTAGCATCAGCCGTCAACCTGCTCCGTTGGTACTTGGTAGACATTCTCTATGCCATTAGCTATTGGTTTTGTTGCTAACCCTCACCTGAGGCTATTTTCCCATGGACTTTTAGAGAGAGTGGAAGAGAGGTAGGGAGAGTGAGAGGGAGAGAAACATCAACGTGAGAGGAGACACATGGATTGGTTGCCTCTCGCACATGCCCTAATCCGGGGTGGGGATGGGGGTGGGGGTAGAGATGGGGGTGGGGGTGGGGGATTGAACCTGCAACCCAGTACGTGCCCTTGACCGGGAATCAAACCCACAGCCCTTCAGTGTGGGTGCTGATGCTCTAATCACTTAGATACACTGTCCAGGACCCATTAGCATATTTCACAGGCAGGGAGGTTAAGGTCCAGAGAGGGTAAGTGACTTGCTCGATGTCACACAGCCAGAAGGAGCAGAGCGGGGTTTGAAGCTGCCTCTCCAGTGAGAGAGACAGATGCCAATGCCTGCGCCCTGGCTGGGGTGGCATCCAGCTCTCCAGCCTGGAGGGAGATGGCCCCTTCCCCAGCTCAGGGCCCGCCTGGAGGGAGATGGCCCCTTCCCCAGCTCAGGGCCCGCCCGGAGGGAGATGGCCCCTTCCCCAGCTCAGGGCCCGCCCGGAGGGAGATGGCCCCTTCCCCAGCTCAGGGCCCGCCCGGAGGGAGATGGCCCCTTCCCCAGCTCAGGGCCCGCCCGGAGGGAGATGGCCCCTTCCCCAGCTCAGGGCCCGCCTGGTGGGAGATGGCCCCTTCCCCAGCTCAGGGCCCGCCCGGAGGGAGATGGCCCCTTCCCCAGCTCAGGGCCCGCCTGGTGGGAGATGGCCCCTTCCCCAGCTCAGGGCCCGCCCGGAGGGAGATGGCCCCTTCCCCAGCTCAGGGCCCCGTCGCGGCCACCAGCCTGGTTTTCAGGGGCCACCTCTGTTCTGCCCCCCAGAAGCCCTGGACTTGATCTTCTCAGCCGCGCAGCACTCCAACGCAGCCATCAAGGAGATGGTGAGCAGGGCCCTCAGGAGAGGGCAGGGGGTCCCCCGGGGCTCTCAGCCTCCCCAGCCCACCAGGCCTCTGCTTCTGCCCATCCCCTGGTCCCTTCTCACCCCCTCACCCCCTCACCCCTCACACCCTCACCCCCTCACCCCTCACCCCCTCACTCCTCACCCCTTCACCCCCTCACCCCTCACACCTTCACCCCTCACCCCCTCACCCCTCACCCCCTCACACCTTCACCCCTTTCTCCCTCACCCCCTCACCCCTCACCCCCTCACTCCTCACCCCTTCACCCCCTCACCCCTCACCCCCTCACCCCTCTCTCCCTCACCCCCTCACCCCTCACCCCTCACCCCCTCACCCCTCACCCCCTCACTCCTCACCCCTTCACCCCCTCACCCCTCACACCCTCACTCCTCACCCCTTCACCCCCTCACCCCTCACCCCTCTCTCCTTCACACCCTCACCCCTCTCCCCCTCACCCCTCACACCCTCACCCCTCACCCCTCTCTCCTTCACACCCTCACCCCTCTCTCCCTCACCCCCTCACCCCTCACCCCCTCACTCCTCACCCCTCACACCCTCACCCCTCACACCCTCACCCCTCACACCCTCACCCCTCACACCCTCACACCCTCACCCCTTTCTCCCTCACTCCCTCACACCCTCACCCCCTCACCCCCTCATCTCCTCCCCCCTCTCCCCCTCCCCCCTCCCCCGTTCACCCCCTTCATCCCCTTCACCCCCTTCCTCCCTCTCCCCCTCCCCCCTTCCCCCCTCCCCCTCCCCCCTGCCCCAGAGGGAGGTGGCCCTGGCTGACTGAGGGCCCCCCCAGGAGCGGCTGCAGGAGCTGTGGGAGGTGTACCAGCGCCTGGGCCTGGAGGATGACATCGTGGACCCGTCCAACGCCCTGCTCCGCCAGGGCCCCCTGCTCAAGATCTCCTTCCGCCGCCGGGACCCCACCGAGCGCTACCTCTTCTTGGTACGGGAGGGGGGACAGGGAGGGGGAGAGGGTGCAGGTGGAATAGGGGAGGGGGGTGTCCCCCCCAGGGCCTCTCTGCACCACGGAGGAGCAGGGAAGAGCCTGCGGTGGCACCAGCTGCCTCGGGACAAGTGCTGCCCGGGCCTGGGGGCTCCCCGCTGAGGGGGGTCCCGGACTCCCTGGGGCCACGGAGTCGCCTCTGGCTCTGAGCGGGCGGTGCTCTCTGTGCTCCAGGCTGCTCGGCGGGGTGAGGGCTGCTGCCACGGAGGATGCCTGGCCGGCCAGAGGCTGGCCCTGGAGGCTGGTCCTGCCGGCCGGTGGGGAGCCGCCTCCCGCCCCTGTGTCCCCGCAGTTAACACCTGCCCCTGCGTCCCCGCAGTTCAACAACATGCTGCTGTGCTGCGTGCCCCGCGTCATCCAGGTGGGCGCCCAGTTCCAGGTGCGGACCCGCATCGACGTGGCCGGCATGAAGGTGAGGGGCCGCCACTGCCAGGCTGCCCCGAGGGCGGCCCAGGCAGAGGGGGAGCAGGAGGCCCCGGGCTCCCGTCCAGAAACCAGGCGGCAGGGCCAAGCCAGCGAGGATGTGGGAATGTGGGGTCAGAGCTGCCCCTCCGGGCTCCCAACCTCCTGCCAGGGCCGCCACAGGCCTCCGGGGCCGGCCCAGCCTGTCCCTGTGGGGTGCCTGGCCCAGCCTGTCCCCGTGGGGTGCCCGGCCCAGCCTGTCCCCGTGGGGTGCCCGGCCCAGCCTGTCCCTGTGGGGTGCCTGGCCCAGCCTGTCTTGTTAAAAGGTGGGTCTGACTCAGTGTGTGTGTGGGGGGGGGGGGCATTCTAGCCAGCTCCCGGGCCACGCTGCCACTGAGCTCCGCAGGCCACACTGTCAGGCGCCCACCCAGAGATGGCTGGGCTGTGGTGACAGCACCCACTGACGGCGGGCCCCTGGCTGGCCCTGCATCGTCCCACCAGGCCCTCACAACAGGCCTGGGATGTGGGGCTCTTATCGCCCGGGCATGTGAGGGCTTAAAAATATTTTTAAAATAATAATTTTATTACTTTAAGAATATAGATAATGCACATTCCCAAACCACACAATATGAGGATTACATAAGCCCCTCCTGCCCCAGGCACCCCGAGGTCCCTCCCCGGGCGGCCTCGGCCTGTCGGGGCTGCCAGAGGTGGTCTCTGCGTGCGGAGGAGCGCCGTGATCATCACTGCTCCCTTTTCTTTCACAAACACGCTGTTCTGCGCTTTGCTGGTTGGAGTAACCCGGAGACTGGTGTGGGTCTTGCTTATGCTCCGCGGCAGGGCCCCGGGCGTGGTGAGCCGGAGTCACTCGCCAGGCCTCCGCTGCGGGGCCGTTAGATTTGCAGTCGTCAGTCTCTGCAAACGAGTTGAGTAACTGCACTCGGCAGTGTGTGAGTATGGGTGTAGTTAATTCTATTTTTTATGAATGAGGCAATACATCCTCGCTGGTTTGGCTCAGTAGAAAGAGCATCGGCCTGTGGACTGAAGGGTCCCTGGTTTGATTCCGGTCGGGCTTCATCCCCAGTAGGGGGCGTGCAGGAGGCGGCCAATCAATGATCCTCTCTCATGGTTGGTGTTTCTAGGGCTCTCTCTTTCCCTCTCCTTTGCTCTCTGAAATCAATAAAAAATATATTTTAAAAAAGAAAGAAAGAAAGAAAGAAAGAAAGAAAGAAAGAAAGAAAGAAAGAAGAATGAGGCAGTAGCCTGGCCTATGTGGTCCAGTTGGTTGGAGCACTGTCCCATGCACCAAAGAGTGATGTGTTCGATTCCCATTCAGGGCACATACCCACCCACGTCTCAGGATCCATCCCTGATTGGGGTTTGAATGGATAGTGGCTGTTAGATATTTCCCTCCCACAGTGATGTCTGTCTCTCCCTCTCCCTCTCTCTCTCCCTCTCCTCTCCCTCTTCTTCTCCCTCTTCCTCTTCCTCTCCCTCTCTCTCTTCCTCTTCCTCTCCTTTCCTCTATCTAAAATAATTATTAAGCCGGAACCGGTTTGGCTCAGTGGATAGAGCGTCGGCCTGCGGACTAAAAGGTCCCGGGTTCAATTCCGGTCAAGGGCATGTACCTTGGTTGCGGGCACATCCCCAGTAGGGGGTGTGCAAGAGGCAGCTGGTTGATGTATCTCTCTCATCGACGTTTCTAACTCTCTATCCCTCTCAATTCCTCTCTGTGTAAAATCAATAAAATATATTCAATAAATAAATAAATAATAAATATATTTTTAAAAAAATAAAAAATAAAATAAAATAATTATTAAGTCAAAAATAGTTTTAGCCCTGGCTGGTTTGGCTCAGTGGATAGAGCGTTGACCTGGGGACTGAAGGGTCCCAGGTTCGATTCCTGTCAAGGGCATGTACTTTGGTTGCGGGCACATCCCCAGGTGGGGGTGTGCAGGAGGCAGCTGATTAGTGTTTCTCTCTCATCAATATTTCTGGCTCTTTGTCTTTCTCCCTTCCTCTCTGTAGAAATTAATAAAATATATTTTAAAAATAGTTCTAGCCGAAACCGGTTTGGCTCAGTGGATAGAGTGTCAGTCTGCGGACTGAAAGGTCTCAGGTTCGATTCCGGCCAAGGGCTTGTACCTCGGTTGCGGGCACATCCCCGGTGGGGGGTGTGCAGGAGGCAGCTGCTTGATGTTTCTCTCACATCGATGTTTCTAACTCTCTATCCCTTTCTCTTCCTCTCTGTAAAAAATCAATAAAATATATATTAAAAAATATATTAAAAATAGTTCTAAAAAATAAGGCAATAAATTCTGATGCATACAGACAATGGAATATTCAGTGATAAGAAGTGAGCTATCAATCCATGAAAAGACGTGGGAAATGTTAATGCCTAACTAAGTGAAAGAAGCTGCCTGAAAAGGCAAATACTGCCCCAGTCTAACTAAGGACACGGAAAGGCAGAGCAGGAGGCAGTAGAAGGACCAGGAGTTGCCAGGTGTTGGGGAGAGGGAGAGGTGAGTAGGCGGAGCACAGAGGATGTTTAGGCACTGGCAGTATTTTGTATGATATGATAATGGTAGATACAGGTCATTACTCATTTTTCCAACCCATAGAATGCACCACACCGAGCGTGGCCCCTGGGGTAAGCTGCGAACCTTGGGCATGTCCACGTTCACTGATGGCAGTGAATGTCCACTGGGATGGGGGTTGATAATGGGGAGGCTGTGCCTGTGTGGAGGCAGGGCTGTATGGGAATCCCTGTACCTTCCTCTCAGTTTTGCTGTGAACTGAAAACTGTTCTAAAAATTGTCTTTTAAAAAAAGAAGGAAACCAAGCCCCAGAGAAGTTAAGTGACTTGCTGGGGGTCAGACTCAGGTGTACCAGAGTCCAGAGCCCCTGCTCCTAATCGCCTCGCTACACTGGTTCCTATTAAAGCTTCACCCCAGGGGATCCCGCTATGGCAGATTGCAGGCACTGGCAGAAGTGTGGAGAGCCTTCTTGATCACTCCTCTGATCCCTCAGTCCTTCCTGAGGGCTGGGGTGGAAGAAGCATGCGCAGGTGTGTTTGTTTTTTCAAAAATTTTCAATAAGAATTCAATACTATTTTAGTATTTGTATTCATTTTAAGTGTACAGCATAGTGGTTAGACAATCTTGTACTCTACAAAGTCTTCCTTCCAATATTTTCAGTATGCACCTGACACTATACATAGTTATTACAATACTAGAGGACAGGTGCACAAATTCATGCACCTGTGGGACTGGGCCAAAACTGGCTCTTCAACATGCTCAAGGGGTCCGGGATTGTGAGAGGGTGCAGGCCAGGCTGAGGGACCCCACTGGTGCACGATTGAAGCCAGGGAGGGACAGGGGAGGTTGGCCACCTGGGGAGGGATTGTGGGAGGGCTCCAGGGCATGTCTGACCCATCTCACTCAGTCCCAACCCGCAGGACCCCAGCAGCAAACTAACCTACTGGTTGGAGTGTCTGCCCCCTGGTGGTCAGTGCATGTCACATGGAGCGGTTGAGTGGCCTTAGCATATCAGTAGTGTATTTTGCTTTGGTTGATTGAACAGACAACTGGACAACCAAACACTTAGCATATTAAGCTTTTATTATCTAGGATTATTATACTTAATATCCCCATGACTATTTTGTAACTATCAATTTGTGCTTCTTGCCCTAGCTGATTTGGCTCAGTGGATAGAGCATCGGCCTGCGAACTGAAGGGTCTTGGGTTTGATTTCAGTCAAGGCACATGCCCAGATTGTAGGATCAATTCCCAGTAGGGGGTTTGCAGGAGGCAGCCAATCAATGATTCTCTCTCATCATTGATGTTTCTATCTCTCTCTTCCTTTCTCTCCCTCAACTCCCTCCCTTCTGGCAGCCATCAGTCTGTTCTCTGTATTTATGACTTTCAAATTTGTTCACTTATTTTGTTCTTTAGATTCCACATATAACTGAAACCATACGATAGTTGTCTTTTTCTGACTGACTTATTTCACTTAGTGTAATACACTTTATGTCTAGCCATTCTGTGGCAGAGGGGAGATTCATTCTTTTTTGAAGCTGAGTAATGTTTAATTGCATACATGTACCTCAGCATTTTTATCTACTGGTCTCCTCATGGGCAGTTGGGCTGCTTCTAGGCCTTACCTATTACAAATAGTGCTACCATGCAATAGGGGTGCAAATATTAGTGTTTGGAATTTTTATATATATATATATATACCCAGAAGTGGAATCACTGGATCACAAGGCAGTTTCATTTTTAATTTTTAGAGCATCGGCCTGCGAACTGAAGGGCCTTGGGTTTGATTTCAGTCAAGGCACACGCCCAGATTGTAGGATCAATTCCCAGTAGGGGGTTTGCAGGAGGCAGCCCAATCAATGATTCTCTCTCATCATTGGTGTTTCTATCTCTCTCTTCCTCTCTCAGCCCTTCCTTACTGTTCTCCACAGTGGCTGCACCAGTCTGCATTCCCACCAGCAGTGCATGAGGGTTCCTTTTTCTCTGCTTCCTCACCAGCACTTGTCCTTTGTTGATTTATTGATGATAGCCATTCTGGCAGGTGTTAGGTGCTATCTCCTGTGGTTTTAATTTGCATCTCTCTGATAATCAGTGATGCTGAGCATTTTTCATGTCTATTGGCCAATTGTATGTTCTCTTTGGAGAAATGCTCAGGTCCTCTGTGCATTTTTCCATTGGATTATTTGTTTTCCTTGTGTTGAGTTGTCGGAGTTCTTTATAAATTTTGGATATTGACCCCTTATCAGACATATCAGTGGCAAATATGTCCTCCCATTCAGTAGGTTGTTTTGTTTTGTTGATGGTTTTCTTTGCTGTGCAAAAACGTTTTAGTTTGATGTAGTTTCATTTGTTTATTTTTCTTTTGTGTCTCTTGCCTGAGGAGATATGGCAGAAAACTATTGCTAAGAGAGATGTCAGAGATTTTACTGCCTGTTTTCTTCTAGGAGTTCTATGGTTTCAAGTGTTACAGTTGTCTTTAATCCATTTTGAGTTTTTGTGTGTGTATGGTGTAAGTTGGTGGTCTAGTTTCATTCTTTTGCATGTATCTGCCCAATTTCCCCAACACCATTTATTGAAGAGACTGTCTTTTCCCCATTGTATGCTCTTGCCTCCTTTGTCAAATATTAATTAACCATAGAGGCTAGGGTTTATTTCTGGGCTCTGTGTTCTGCTTCCTTGATCTATATGTCATTTGCTTTTAAGCTTGTACTATGCTGTTTTGGTTACTGTGGCTTTGTAGTATAGTTTGATATCAGTTGGTGTGGTTCCTCCAACTTTGTTCTTCTTTCTGAAGATTGCTGTGGCTCTTCGGGGTCTTTTGTAGTTCCATATAAGTTTTTGGATTATTTATTCTAGTTCTGTGAAGTATGCCATTAGTATTTTAATAAGAATTGCATTGAATCTATAGATTTGGGTAGTATGGACATTTTAATGATGTTAATTCTTCCTATCCATGAGCACAATATATTTATTTATATCTTCTTCAATTTCTTTTTTCAGTGTTATCATTTTTCAAGTATAGGTCTTTTACCTCGGTTAAATTTATTTTTAGGTATATTTTAATGCAATTGTAAATGGGATTGTTTTCCTGCTTGCCCTTTCTTTCCTTTTTTCTTTTTTTAAAGCATTTAAAATATATATATATATTTAATTGATTTTTTTTACAGAGAGGAAGAGAGAGGGACAGAGAGCTAGAAATATCGATGAGAGAGAATCATCGATCAGCTGCCTCTTGCACACTCCCCACCAGGGATGTGCCCGCAACCAAGGCACATGCCCTTGACCGGAATCGAACCCAAGACCTCTCAGTCCCCAGGCCGACGCTCTATCCACTGAGCCAAACCAGTCTCGGCTGCTTGCCCTTTATGATAGTTCATTATTGTTGCAACCAATTTCTGAATATTTATTTTGCATTCTGCTCCTTGAGTAGATTCCTTTATCTGTTCTAGTAGCCTTTTGGTAGAATTTTTAGGTTTCTCTCTATATATATATCAGTATCATGTCATCTGCATGATACTGACAAAATAATGACAATTTTACTTCTTTCCCATTTGGATATTATTTTTTCTTCCTGTCTGATCGTGTGGCTAGGACTTCCAGGACTGTGTTGAATAAGAGTGGTAAAGCCCTAGATCAAGCGTGTCAAACTCAAGGCATGCAGCCCGCCAGCCTTGAGTTTGACATGCTCCATAGTTTGGCTCAGTGGATAGAGCGTTGGTCCTTGGACAGAAGGGTTGCAGGTCTGATTCTGGTCAAGAGCATGTGCCTCTGATGGTCAGGGCATGTGCAGAAGGCAATCAATTGATTTGTCTCTCTCATCAATTGATGTGTCTCGCTCACATTGATGTCTCTCCTCCCTTTCACTCTTTCTCTCTAAAAAAGTGGTGCCCAGCCACCAGTGTGGCTCAGTGATTGAATGTCGACCTATGAACCAGGAGACCCCAGTTCAATCTCAGTGAGGGCACATGCCCAGCTTGTGGGCTCCATCTCTAGGAGGGGGTGTGCAGGAGGCAGCCAATTGATGATTCTCTGTCACCGTTGGTGTTTCTATTCCTCTCTCCCTCTTCTTTCCTCTATGAAGTCAATAAAATACATTTTTAAAAAGAAAATAAATTAAAAAATAACATCCCTATTTTATTTGGATATTAAGGGAAACTCTTTTAATTTCCCCCCATTGAGTATGATGTTAGTTGTGTGTTTGTCATTTATGGCCTTTATTATGTTGAGGTATGCTCCCTCTATCCCCGCTTTGCTGAGTTTTTATCGTAAAAGGTGCTGCTTTGTCAGATGCTTTTTCTGTATCTATTGATATCTATTGGTCATATCTATTGATATGATCATATGATTTTAATTCTTCATTTTGTTTATATGATGTATCACATTAATTGATTTGCAGATATTGCACCAACCTTGCATCCTGGGAATAAATCCCATAGGGTTAATGGTGTGTTATCTTTTGAATGTATTGCTGAAACTGATTTGCTCATATTTTGTTGAGGATTTTCACATCTATGTCCATCAGGGATGTTGGCTTATAATTTTCTTTCGTTGTGGTGTCTTTATCTGGTTTTGGATTAGGACAATGCTGGCACATGTGCAGGCTTGTGTTTCTGGGTGCCTTGGTGAGTGAGACCCAGAAAGTCCCAGGGACGCAGTGTGTCCCTCACAGGGCATCTGTGCTCCAGCGGCCACACAGCCCCCTCTCCTGGATGGCACAGGCCTGGCATGCGCAGAGCTGTCCCCCCACCGTGTCTGCACGGGAACCATTTTCTGAGTCTGAGGTTTGGAGGCAGGTCCGGCCTTCAGCCACCATGATGTCCCCATTGGCCTATGACCCCTGGCCTCCTCCTCCCGGATGTCAGGGAGGACTGCTCTCAGCGCCTGATTGTCCCCGAGGTCCGACCTGGTCCTAACGCTGTGCCATGGGCGCAGGGCCAGCCCGGGAGCAGGAGGGATGTGAGACACACAGCTGGGCAGGTGCTCACGGTAGGACACACGCCATCTAAGATGGGCACACCTCATCCGCAGCCACCTGCACACACGGTGTGTTCACAACTCTCCTTGCCCAGCAGAGGGCAGCCAAGTGTCTTGTTCCAACAAAACCTGCCTGTGACGCCAGTCTGCCAGCAGATGTCAGTAAGGTGTTCTGAGGAAGTGGTGTCTTTTGTTAATTGACACAAAGGGGCCTGGACCAGCCCAGACCTGGGGGAGGCTGGGACCGGGATCCGGAAGGTGTCTCTAGAAGCCTCCATCCTGCCTGGGCCAAGGCAGATGGTGCTGGACCCCCAGGTTTCTATGAAAAGCATCGGATTCCTTCCTGCCTCTGGGCTCCGAACCTTAGACTTCTCCCTTCTTTGCCCTCTCCCCTCGCCCTCACTGCTCAGTCATGGCGTCTGGCCAGAGTTCCTGACGTCCCTCAGGAGAGACTCTTCCTTCCCGCTCCCGGTGTGGGCAGGCCTCCACCCAGGGCCCCGCTTCCCAGCTGGCCTTGGGACCGCTGGTTTGTCCCCTTTCCCCCCACAGCAGCCCTCCTCCCTTACACACGCCTGCAGAGCGACGGCCCACACACCTTCCCGCCTGAGCGGCTCCATTCAGACACTCTCCCAGCTTCCCGGTGGCCGAGGGCATTGAGTCCAATCCCATCAGGCCGGCACCGAGGCCCGGCCGGCTCCGTGGGCCGGCGGGTGGCCTGGGCCTGGCGTGAAGAGAGTGTTCCCAGAGCCATGCTCTGTGGGGTGGGGTGAGCCGCCCTGGGAGGTCACACAGGGCAGTGAGATGGGCTCAGTGACAACAAAGCTCCCAGGCCAGGACCGTGGGCTCCATGTCCATGTTCTGGCTTCCCCGTGACTCCACACCACGGGGGGAGGTCCGTGCTCACAGGACTGGCTGCAAACAGACGTTCTTCCATTTTACCCTTTGGGGGGCCAAGACCCCAAGTTTGAATCCTCATTCTGCCATGTAGATGCTGTGTGACCTCAGGCAGGTTTCTTGCCTTCTCTGAGTCTCCATTTCTCCATCTCCCAGAGGAGGATGGTAATATCTGCCTCCCAAGATTGCTGTGAGGATTTTCTTTAACTTTTTATTGTGAACATTTTTTAAAAATAGACTTTTATTGATTTCAGAGAGGAAGAGAGGAGGAGAGAGAGATAGAAACTTCAGGGAGAAGAGAAAATAGAAGCCCATATACTCCTCCCCTAGTTTCAGCAATTGCCAGCTCAAGGCCAGTCTTGTTTCCTCAGTATTTCCCCTCTTAATCCCCTTTGTGCACTGGACTATTTAAGGGCAAATCCCAGTCACATAATTATTTCACCTGTAAGTATGGATACTTCAGTATGTCTCTGTCAGAGATAACTCCTTTTTTTTTGGCCTAAAAGATGACAACAGTACCATTATCACCTCTGACAAATGGATAACAATTATTTAGTAACATTAGGACCTGTCGGTTTTCCTTGACCGTCTCATAAATGTCTTCCCACAGCTGATCTGTTTGAATCATTTGTGATATGCTGCTCATGGCCCGTTTAATCCATTACTCTTCCCTTCCCCACGCTTTTTCTCATTTATTTATTGAAAACCGGGATAATTTCTCTGGTGGAGTTTCCTGTAGGTTGGACTTTGCTGACTGACCTCTGTGGAGCCGTGTAACATGTCTCGTGCTCACTGTGTCTGTGAACTGGTGGAGGACCCAGAGGCCTGAGCGGAGTCAGCGGTGCAGGGAGCCCGCGGCTGGGAGAGATTTGCTGCCCTGGGAGGCCGGGATGGCTGAGCATCAGGGCGGATCCCGGGTTCCCCGTTTCAGGGCTGAGTGAGAACGTGCACAGAGGCCCTGAACGCCACGGCCTCTCTGCCTGGCGGCTTTCACATCGGCCCTGGGACCCTGGGCCAGAGGGTGGCGACAGGCAAGGAGCTGATCGCCCAATTCTTGGATCCATTGAGGTTGGTCTGCGTGGTCCATGGATTGGGTCATCAATTCCTTCAGGCGCTGTATGGGGCAGAGGGCCTTACTCTGGGCCCTAGGTCTGCTCTTGCAGAGGCTGTGTCCCCGAGCCCCATTGTGGCCACTCTGGTGAGTCATTTGTCAGGAGCCACCACCCTGCCTCACACGGGCCATCTCAGCTGCTGCCGAACTTCCAGGAGCCAGAGCAGCCTTCGCTCGGCTCCGAGGGACCAGGGGGTGCTGGGCCAGCTTCCGTCCTCGTCCCTGGCGTTGGCATCGCCCGGGGGCACGATCCCTCTCCCTGCCCTCTGAACGCCCTCCTGTGCCCGGGCAGGTGCGGGAGCTGACGGACGCCGAGTTCCCGCACTCCTTCCTGGTGTCGGGGAAGCAGCGCTCCCTGCAGCTGCAGGCCAGGTAGGGCGGGCGGCGGGGCGGGCGGCGGGGCGGGGCGGGGCGGGGCGGGGCGGGGCAGGGCAGGGAGGCCCGTCTCAACACCGGCCTTCCTCTCTGTGCAGGTCCCAGGAGGAAATGCTTTCTTGGATGCAGGTATCAGACCCACCACCCAGGCGGGGTGGGGGAGGGTGGGGGGCGGGGAGGAGAGGGCGCAGGGGCGGGGCGGGGGGGCGGGCTCTGTGGGGCGCCCCGCTGCTCCCTGCTCCTCCTCGGGAGCTGCTGGGGGCAGGTCGGAGTCACACCTGAGCTAGCATTCTGCTGCCTCTCGCTGTCTAGCCGGGTGGCCTGGAACAGGTCACCAAGCATCCCTGAGCCTCAGTTTCCCCATCTGTAATGTGGGGTGATGGTTTCTCTCCTGAAGTCGGCCCATGTGCACTGAGTATCCCTCGCCCAGCGGCTCTCAGCAGGGTCTGCCAAGGGTGTGGATGGATGGACGGAGGGATGGACACCCTCCCCCTCGACCCCCTTTTCCTTTAACGACTCCCTGCCCCCTCCCAGGCCTGCCAGGCAGCCATTGACCAAATCGAGAAGCGGAATGAGACCTTCAAGGCCGCGGTGCAGGGCCCCGAGGGCGCCGCCCAGCGGCAGGAGGTGAGGAGGGCAACTCCGAGGGCGGAGTGTCCCCCAGGAGAGATGTGAAGGGACAGGGAAGCCTCCCACCCCAGCATCGCCCTGTCAGACCCAGTGCCCGGGGCTCCCACGGCCGACAGCCGCCCGCCCGCTGCACCTCCGGGGGCAGCCAGCCCGGGGAGGGCTGCGGGCTGGGGGCCGGCGGGCTGGGGCAGGTCTGGGCTGAAAGGCCTGGGAACTGTACGCCCGGGGGAGGGGGAGGCCGCAGGGGGACAGGGGGGGCTGACTGATCTCGGACCTGAGCTCGGACGCTGGCTGCTGGGTGGCTGTGCGGGTCCCAGCCCCCTGGGCCTGTCTGCTCAGCGGCGGAGGGAGATTGTCATGGGGCTACCCAGGGCCTCGCCGTCCGGCCCGCTCCGCGTGGCGGGCACTGGGAGCCCACACGGACCCGCCGGGCAGAGGGTGACGCCGGCCCCCTGCCCCAGCTGCAGGCGGAGGAGCTGGGCCTGCGGGCGCCGCAGTGGGTGCGGGACAGCATGGTGACCATGTGCATGCGCTGCCAGGAGCCCTTCACCGCCCTGACGCGCCGGCGCCACCACTGCCGGGCCTGCGGCTACGTGAGTGCCCCTCCCGCCCCTGCCGGCACCCCCCCTCTGCCAGCACCCCTCCCTGCCCCCCAGCCCGCTCCCTACCCCCCAGCCCGCTCCACCCAGCGCAGCCATGAGCTCTGTGCCAGGCGTGGGAGACACCTCGTCTGGACCTCAAGGTGCCCACAGTGAAGCGGGCCTCATCCTCCCCCTGAACTAGTGCTCGGACACTCCCCAAGGTGGTGCTATTAGCCACCTGCTTCCTTCACTTCCCGAGGCCCCCAGCCCCGCACTGGGACATGGTCCCCAGGGTCAGGGCGAGGGGCATGGGAGCCCCAGCCTTCCCCGGCCCTGCCCCGCCTCCTCAGCCCCACGCCTGCACCGCCACCTCGTCCTCCCTTCCTGACTGGCCCCACTAGCTCTCCTCTCCTCTCCTCCCCTCCCCTCTCCTCTCCTCTTCCCCTCCCCTCCCCTCCCCTCACCTCCCCTTCCCTCCCCTCCCCTCCCCTCCCTTCTCCTTCCCTCTCCTCCCCTTCCCTCCCCTCCCCTCTCCTCCCAAGCCCTGAGCACTCCAGCCTCTGGATTCTGTGGCTAACTCTGCCCGTCCAGCTCCGGCCTCAGTTTCCTCGCCTGTGCAATGGGGATGACAATGCCTGCCTCCGGGGGGCAGTGAGGACCGGACTAAGGAACGTGCCCCCTCCCCTCGCCGCCTCCTCCAGAGCTCAGGCCCCTCAGAGGAGTGAGTCACAGGCCACTGGGAAGGGGCTGTCCCTCCCGCCACCTGCCCTGCGTGTAACACCTGCTGCACTGGAGCTGCTCTCTGCTGGCGTCATCGCCCCCCCCCCCCGCAAACAGAGCCGTGACCTCGTCTTTGATGAGCTCCGGGGACAGGAGGCCCGCGGGCAGGCTGGCCAGGGAGGTGGCCCCGAAGTGTGTTAAAGAGCAAACAGAACAGAGGGACTGTCTAGGCCCGGGACACACCTCCGTGGGGATTTAAGAGTCCATCCCGGATGTGGGGATTAGCTCCCGTTCTTGGCGATTCACGCCGGCCAATAAGACTGGCGTCCGTTCACACTTGTGACGTAGTAAGCAGTTCTAAACAAATATTTAAAGTAGTTAAGAAGTACAGAAAGGCACGAAGACTGCCCTAACAGCCCGAGGCAGGTACGTGGACCAATACAGTACTCTGACTGGATGAAATGTCAGATCCTGGATTGGATCCTGGAAACTTGATTGTCCGCGTGACCCTGACAGTGAGTCAGGCAGCAGAGTGCTCTGGCTCCTGGCGATTCCCCCCGGCATCACTGAGGGTGAGGGGTCCTGATGACTATAATTTATATCCGAATGGTTCAGACAAAGTGAAATGCACATATGCAGAGAGAGGCAAAGATGTTAACAGTGGAGAGTTGGCGGTAGGAGTGTCAGTGAATTGTTCTTTCAGCTTGTCTGCAGGCTTGAAATTTTTCCAAAAGGGAAGTTGGTGGAGGAGAAAAGGACACACGCATAATATTTAACAGTTAAATCTCAATAAGAGTAAAATAAAATGTTCGCACGGTGGCGGAAGGCCCGTGTGGGGATGTGCGGGGCACCTCCCACCTGTGCATTCCCCCGTGTCCGTGAGTCACCCTCTCGGTGGTTGGGTGCCCAGTTTCTGTCTCCTGCCTGCCAGGGATCCTGGCGAGGGCGGGCCCTCCGTCCCTACTGAGCCGGGCACACCCAGGGGCTCCCTGAGGAGCAGCCCTCTCCTCCCTTCTCCCCTCTCCCCCTCGTTTCCAAGCCCACCTCCTGGACACAGTGACCCCCCGTCCTCCTGGAAACCACGTCCTGCAGCGCCCATGTTTTCCTCGAGCCCCATCATGCCTCTTCCACCCGGTCTCCCCTTCTTGGGGCCTCCCCGTGGGGGGCGGGGGGTCCCCAGTCTGGGAGTAAGCAGGGCAGGCCTTCCTGGCCAGACAAGCAGCCATCATTGCTGTGTTGGAGCGGGCGTGGCTCGGGGACGAGCGGAATGCAGAATTTGCATGGACCTTAGATCTAACCGGGGAAGGACAGGGCCTGCTGGTGGAGGGCCAGCTGCAGCCGTGAGCTGCTCCCCGTGAGGCGAGGACAGAGGCCCGCAGGCGCTGGGAGAGGAAGTGAGAGGCAGAGGGACTGAGGGCCCCGGAGGAGTGGCTCCGGTGCAGGGAAGCGCTGGGCTGACAGCTGCCTTCACTCAGGGCATCTGGAGGGAGAGGCCGGCTCCAGGCCTCAGCCCCGCTGGGGAGGCCCGGCCTGAGCTCTCCTGCTGCCATGGGCGGGAGCAGCAGCCTCTCCCGCGTCTGCGTTCCTCCCGGAGCCTCGCCTTCCCTCCTCCCGCCCCTGCCCGCTCCTCTCCAGCCCCGCTCCCAGCCCAGGCTCAGGCGGTCCTCCCGGCCCTCCTCCGCAGGTGGTGTGTGCCAGGTGCTCCGACTACCGGGCTGAGCTCAAGTACGACGGCAACAGGCCCAACCGCGTCTGCCTGCACTGCTACACCTTCCTCACGGGCCACGTGCTCCCCGCGGACCGGGAGGACCGCAGGCGGGGCATCCTGGAGGTGAGGCCGTCCTCCCGCCCGGCACCCTCCTGGGAAGAGAGCTGGGGTTACCGATGGGGAAACCGAGGCTCCAGGGCAGGGCCTCGCTGCTGGAGAGGCGGGCGGGCGGGAGACTCCATTCTAACAGAGGGACTCGGGGGCCTGTCCCGTGGGAGCCCGGGCCAGAGCAGCGGCTTGCCCGGTCACCCAGCGAGAAGGAGCCGGCGCCACGGCCTCCCCCAGCCGTCCTCCCGGCTGCCCGTGGGCCCGGCTGGGCCGCTCACTCCCTGGACCTCCCCCGCCCCCCGTCCCCCACCCCGGGCGCTGGCTGTAGTCAGCCTCGTGCTACAAACACCGGGTGGCCCGGCCTGGCACAGCGTGCCCGCTGCCCCCTCGCTGAGGCCAGTGGGCATCCGCTGCCCCTGGGAGGGGAGAAGACCCAGCCTGTCCAGCTGAGCACAGCCCCCGGGTCTCCAGCCGGTTCCTTTCCACGGGCATCGGCCTGCCTTCCAACCCTCCCCATTGTTCCAGGTCCAGCAGTCACGGCCTCGCTGGCCATTGGGCAACACAGCCCGCCCCTGGAGAGAGGGGAGGGTCAGCCCCTTCTCGGGCCCTAACTGTGTTCCCTGGGAGAACTTTCCGGTGGAAAGCCCCGCCCTGCCCCCGTTCAGGCTGGCCAGGGCTCGGCCGGCTGTGACGACCGAGGCCCGTGCTGGCCTCTCTGAGCCGCAGGGACGGAGATCGGCCTGCAGGCGCCGCGGGAGCAGGAAGAGAGATTGACGGGTCCCCGGCAGCCTGTCCTCTGGTTTCAGACGGGGTCCTCGGCGGCAGCCGAGCGGAGCCTCGTGTGCGGCTTCCTGCAGCTCGGCGGGGAGAAGTGGGGCAAGAGCGGCCCCCGGGGCTGGTGCGTGATCCCCCGGGACGACCCCCTGGTGCTCTACGTCTATGCGGCCCCCCAGGTAAGGCCGCCCCGGCCCCCGGCCCCCGGCCCTGGCCCTCTCCCCACCGGTGGGGATGGGGAGGGCACGCTGCTGGCCCATTCCTCAGATGTGGAGACTGAGGCCCAGTGCAGACACAGTTCTCTGGGGCCCCACAGGGTTAGGGGCTTTCAAAGCTGGGCCCAGACCCCAGGGCACAACTGCGTTGTCCTCAAGGGGCGGCCCGTTCTCCCGTCCCCTGGTCCTCCCCCAGCCCTCCCCTCCCGGGGCCGTGGGGCGTGGGAGCAGGTGTGTGACTGGGAGGCCGCAGGGCCGGATCGGGGACCGTGGCCCACAGCTCTCTCCTCCCTCCAGGACATCCGGGCTCACACCTCCATCCCCCTGCTGGGCTACCAGGTGACCGCCGGGCCCCAGGGGGACCCCCGAGCCTTCCAGCTGCAGCAGTCCGGCCTGCTGTACACCTTCAGGGCCGACAGCGAGGAGCTGCGGGGCCGCTGGGTGAGAGCCATCGAGCGGGCGGCGGGCGGCTGGAGCCCGGGCGACCCCGCGGACGGGGACCTGTCTGACTGAGCCCGGCCGCCCCCCGCAGGGCCCGGCTCCCCACGGCCTGCCCGGCCGCTCACCCCCGCTGAGCTCAGCCGCTCTCCAGGCACAGTGTCCAGGCCGCGTGTCCGATTTGGTGACCGGGCCTCCGGTGTGCCGCGCTGAGGGGCCCGGGACACGGGCCTTTCCGTGGGGAAGCCGGGTGTCTGAGTCACCCCGGGCTGCGGGTCAGTGCGGCTCTCCCCTGGGGTCTTTCCAATGGACCCCTAAAATATAAAAATAAACTGAACATTTAAATACCACCGCCGTAGCCGTCACCAGACTTCTGACGTCCCTGGTCTGGGGTGGGAGGCGGGTGTGTCTCAGGAGCACCCCCAGAGTCTCCGTGCAGCCAGGCTCCCCGATGGG